TTCTATGTTTTCATCATCACTATCATGATATATACTATGTGATTCATTCAAGCACAACACAATGAACAATGTCATTTTTTTTCCGGGAATCATCCTGGATTGTGTGTGTGTGTGTGTGTGTTTGTGTTTGTATGGATGTTACAACAGGCAATTACACACGGCGAACAAGAAAAAAAAAAAAAAAACATGACCATGGTCATGTTTTGTGATGATAGAATGATAATATTTTTTAGTAGTGTAGTGTAGTGTAGTGTTTGGTTGTTTTTTTTTTTTTTTTTCATTATTCATTCATTATTTTATTCCATTTCGATATGATAAATATCTCTATTTTCTTTTTCTTTTTGTTGTTGTTGTTGTTGTTGTTGTTCAAGTCCATTATAATAATAATAATAATGATGATGATAATGTGTCAAAATCTTTGCTATACAAACAAACAAACAAACAAACAGAAAAAAAATAACAACGTGCAAATAAAAAAACAAACACAGACACACATACACATATTGTCATCGTCATTATCATCATTGAATAATTGGCTTTTTTTTCATCTATCACAAAGTAAATCATCATCATCATCATCATCATCATTATCATGGTATTAATATTAATAAAGTCAATAATAATAATAAGATGAATCAAATAGGATTCTGTGTTGATATTGGCCATGTGTGTGTGTGTGTGTGTGTGTGTGTGTGTTTTGTATATATAAACAAATAGCCACAATGATCATCTAACGAATCATATTAATATGTTATTTTGTTACACATCACTTGAATGAGAATATTAGCGAGAAACAAGATTCTCTGCATGTGTGTGTGTGTGTGTAATGAATCTGAATCACATGAAAATATGTTAATCATCTGCTAGCTTCTAAATTCATTCATTTATATTTATTCATCAATATTTGTAAATATTTTTGTTTTTTTTTCACTCACAAATATCAATCGATGATGATGATGATGAATTGATTTGATATTTTCAAATTGTATCTTTCTCTGCAGATATTCATAGAATTTGTTCAATCATTTCAATGGATAAACGGATTTGTTTTTTTTCTGATTATTGCTGATCATTATTCTTATGATTGACAATAAAATATTGATTATTTTTTTTTGAATAGATTAATAGCAACAAAGAAATGTATGACTGGTTGAACAGAATAAAAAGGTTAATTACAAATAATAAAAGCAGCAGCAGCTGCTGCTGCTGCTTGAAATTCATACTACACAACATGCCTCCACCCGTTTGTTTTGGATGATATTCTCATTCATCATAATATACAGCTCTATTTTAGAATTTTTTAGTGACCCAAACACGATATAAAAAAAGAATTCTACAAGATAGAAATAATGAAGAAACAACACACACACACACACACACACACACACACACACACTTGAAACCTTATAAAACCAATCTACCTACATATAGAGAGATTTTCTCTTTCACTTTTTCTTTTGTGTTCCATTTGGAACCAGTTACACAATATGTTCAATAACATTTTATCGTCATCGTAGTGTTTTGTTTTTTTTTCTTTTGCTAGAAAAATATTATGATCATCATCATCATATAACATTAATAATGTTCAATGTTCAAACAACTAGCTAACCAACCAAAACAATCGTTATAACCACATACAAACACACACACACAACCGAAGTAACCAATCAACCAACCAATCAATCCATCGGGTTTTCGTATATATATTATATATTATTAATTATTGATTACAAACAACAACGACAACCACAATATTATCAAAAAAAAATAACTAACTATACTTTGAATCATTATGATATAAAATTTGTAATTTAGTCATTTGATAGAAGAAAGGGACAGAGAAAAAAAATGACAAAAACTTTGAAAAAACAACAACAACAACAACAACAACAAACTATTGGTCATTGGATAAATGATTGGATTCTCACTCAAATATTCGTGCGTTCACAATATTAATAATAAATTCAATATATATATAAAAAAATGATTGAAATGAAATGAAAATATATCGATTATGACAATAGAGTGAATATATTTTTTCTTCATTTCTCTAGCTAATATAATGATCATGATTATAGTGAAAATGTTGATAGATTGGCTCAATTTTTTTTTCTTGAGAACCACTTACCTTTTTTTATTATATTTTTTTGTTTCTTCTTCTTCTTGGGTTTTTCCTTCTTTTTATGATTTTTTTTATATTATACAAAATTCATCATTTTCATGTAATCGATGATGATAATTTTCAATTTTATTTTTCTTGAATAATGAAATTTACAGCGGCAAACAAATATCGATCCAATTATGATGATGATGATTGATTATGATTTATTCGATTCGTGAATGAACAAAAAAACAATAAAATTCGCGAATAAATGATGGATTGTGAATCCAAAATTCTGCAAAAAAAAATATTAACGTGCAACAGTGTCATAGAGATTATTAGAATCGTTGAATGTAAAATTCGCAAAGGATGCACTGGAAACACCCACACACACACACACACAAAAAATTTTGAAATATACGGCTTCTAAAAAAAACAACAACAATGTAATGAAAAGAATCAAAATTCCAACATTCAATGTTTTATTTTATTTTTTTTTTTTTCATCCAATTTCATTCATAGGTAGAGATATAATAACGGCTTTCATAGCGATCGTCTCACTATCATCGTTGTCAAAAGACGAATAAAAATCCCAAGGCACTTGTGGGTCTTTTTTTTCTCTTTTTTTCTTTCTGGTTTCCACACACACACACACACACACACACACACATGGGTAGGAGTATGAACACACACAGAATTTCTCAGTTTCATCAGGTTCACATTTCGATTTGATTCATTCTCTTATTCTCTCATTCTCTCTATTTATATACAATTCAATTTCTATTCTAAATTAGAATCCGATGATGATGATGATGTGTACGCATGCTCTGAAAACGCATGTTTTTTCAAATATTTTTTTTTTTTTGGGTAAAAAAAATATATAAACAAAACATGGCAATTCTGTTCCTATTTCTATGGTGAAAGAAAAACAAAAATCTCTATGAATGGAATATACCATGTGTGATTATTTAATGGCAAAAAAAAAAAAAATAAAAATAATAAATAACCGCACAAACACAATCAAACATTTAAAATTCTTGTTGTTGTTGTTGTTGTTGTTGTTTAAACGAATAGATAAAATTCTCGTTTTTTTTGCGATTGTTGTTGTTGTTGTTGCTGCTGTTGCTGTTGTTTATATTTGAATCGATTGATGTATGGATAGAAAGTGAAAGAATAAGAGGAAAAAAAATTGATTGATGTTTGTTTATTACAATTACAACAACAACAACAACAACAACATCAACTAAATTTATAAATCCAGATGTCGATTTTTTTTCTGCGGCTGTTGTAGTTGTTGTTGTTTGAAAATCAACTTGATTAAGAAAACAAAACAAAACAAAAAAATGAAGAAGAAGACGAAGAAAACCATGAAGTAAAGGATAAATGTTATGTTGATCAACAGCGAATGATAGTGGTAATAATAATAAACAAAAAATAAACTTCTACTTTGAGCAATGAATTGAAGCTAAAAAAAAAAAAAGAAAAGAAACCTATTACAAACTAAAACTTGATCATTTCCGTTATTGTTCCGTTTCTTTTTTTTTTTTTGATTTTGATATTTTTTTCCACCCACTTCTTATAGTGGATAATATTGGCATTTTTCCTACGGACACACACACAAACAAACCATAAAATGTGATATATGGTACAAACATTTGTCATTGCTGTGTCAATTCACAGCAATCAATTTCATTTTGAATGTGTGTGTGTGTGTGTGTGTATCGATTTGTTTTAAGTGTTCATTTGTCTGGGTTTTTTTTCGTTTGTTTGTCTACAAGAAAAAAAATGTGGTTAAATCGGTAAATGGATCGGATTTTTTTTTTTTTTTTTTAGTTTGAAAAAAAATCGTTTTTTTTCTCTCCACTGTCATATTTGTTTGTTCATTTTTTTTGATGATTTTCTGATTGATAAAATCAATGAATTGAACCACCATGATGGATAATCGTGGCAAAGAAAAAAAAACTAATCAAACAAATTGGTCTTTACTTCATTTTTTTTCATTGTTTCATTCTCAGTCTTATTTCTCTATCTCTTTTTACCTCTCAATTCAATTCAATGGTTGATTTTCCATTCGGCTACTGCTTCAATTCTGTATGGTTTTTTGATATTTTTTTTCGTGTGTGCGTATGTTTCACAATACATGAATACGCCCAGAATCCTGTGTGTGTATGCGGTGATGGGGAGAGAGAGAAAAGTTTTTTTTTCATTCATTCATTTTTACCATACATAATTGATTATCGTTCTAAAATATAATGAAAATGAATGAAAAAGATGAGAAAAATGAAGAAAAAACAATCGAATAATCGATTAATCAATCAATCAATCAATCATTTGAATCGATATCCATTTGAATGATTTGATCTATGATTAGTATAATTGTTTTTTCATCATCATCATCATCATCATGATTATGATGATGGTGAGCTGAGATAATGTATTTGTTGGTAAATTTTTTGGTGACAAAACACCGATAATTCATCATCAAATCATTCAATCGAATCCATAATTTTCGCAATTATTTCAATGAATTATTGAAGAAAAAAAAATGGGGGAAAAACATAAATTTGGGTTAAATGAAAAAATCAATGATGATGATTTTTGATTGTTGTTGTTGTTGTTGTTGTTGCAAAATGACATTCGAAACCTATTGATGGCCATTATCAATACACACAAAAATGATCCATCATGTTGTTGATCGAAGGTTAAAACAAAAAAAAAATAAAATATTGTGACCGGAAATTTAAACTATACTGTAATCAATGTTGAACAATGATGATGATGCTTTAAAATGGTAGTGATTTATAAAATATATAAAAATGAAAAAAATTCATTCATTTCAAATCGATTGATGATCAATTACAATTTTTCATCATTGTGTGAGATTGTAAATTGATTAAAAATGGAACCAATCAAATCATTATTGGTTTTATCATTTTTGACAATGGTCACCTTGTCAATGTGCCATCCAACAGCAACAAATGGTCGTTTTTATCGTAATGATGATGCCATTATGGACTATGATGGATATCAATTAATTCGTATTAAACCAATGAATATGGAACAGATTACAATTCTTAAACAATTGGAAAATGAATATGAGGTATTGTCAATACATTGTTTTAATTATTATTATCATTTTCATCATTCAAATAGATGGATTATTGGAATCCAATCGTTAATAATGAACATGATCAACAACCAATAATGACAATTATTGATCCACAACGTTTAGAATTTCTATCACAATTAAATCAATCAAACATTGAATATGATATACTAAGCAATAATTATAAACAAATCATTGATCAAGAACGTTTTGAAATGTATACAGCAAAATTGTTACGATCAAATTATTATGGTGAAAATTTTGACTATGGAAATTATCATACATATGATGAATTGAATGAACAAATCAATTATTTGGCCACTAAATGTAAGTGTTTGATGTTTGGATGCTACTAATATTAATCTATATATAACATTTATAATTCTTGGCCGTCCATCCATCAATTCATCAATCAATCAATGAAACAAAAAATAGTTCCCGAAAATGCTGAAAAAATTTCCATCGGTTATTCATATGAACAACGAAATATTATGGGCATTAAAATTGTTAATAATAAACAGAATAATAGTAGCCAGATAATTTTTGTTGAATGCGGTATACATGCACGTGAATGGATTTCACCAGCATACTGTATATGGTTAGCTGGACAATTATTAACCAATAAAAGATTATCATCATTGAATGAACGTTATCAATTCATTATTATACCATCATTGAATGTTGATGGCTATGTATTCACACATACACATCAACGATTATGGCGAAAAACACGATCACGACAATATGGAACAAATTGTATTGGTGCCGATCCAAATCGAAAGTGAGTATATATATATGCATATAAAATGAAATAAAAAAAACAAACTCTATAAAATCTGTTATTATTATCCATCTGAATGAAATAGCTGGGCTATTTCATGGTGTCAAAAAGGTTCATCATTAGATCCATGTCAAGATACTTATTGTGGTAGAGGTCCATTTTCTGAAATTGAAGTACGACAAATGGCAAATTTTGTACATAGATATGAGGGTAAAATTTTTGCCTATTTTGCCATCCATAGCTATAGTCAATTATGGATGTTTCCATATGGATATACAGCAAGACGAGTGGATAATTATAATCAATTGGTTAGTAATGTGCATTTTCAATAGATTGATATTCATTACATTTTATTATTTGTTGAAAAAAACAAGCGAATAGCTTCTTTAGCTGCTGTCCAATCAATCCGTTCATTGTTTGGTACCCAATTTAAATTCGGATCAATTGCTGAAATTATTTGTAAGTACAATAATTTACAGTTAAATTTTCAATTTTGATTTTCATACCTTTTTTTTGGTTTGTTTTTTTCATTAAAAAAGATTCAGCATCAGGTTCTAGTATCGATTATGTATACGATTCATTAAATGTTAAAAATACATTCGCACTTGAACTTCGTGATAAAGGTAGATATGGTTTTCAATTACCGAATTGGCAAATTATACCAACCTGTGTGGAAACATTGGCCGGAATGAGAACGGCAATCGATGTATTGGATGGATTCTAAGAAAAAAAAACAATTCATATGAATTCGTTAATGACATCTAGTGAGCGAAATAGCAATTAATTTCACTTTATGTTCTATTTACACATAAACGATCATTTTTGGTCATTATAATAATCAATACAATATATATATTCTCGATATAAATAATCATCTTTTTGAAAGTGAATAAAAAATTTAGGAAAAAAAACATTGCCATTAATCGACATTGTTAATCTCTTAATCAGGAAAAAAAGAGAGAGAGAGAAAGAAAATGATTAGCCAGTCAATATATATTTTCAATGATGATAATCTAGCATCATGCGTGTAATAATAAATATATAAATATGGATTAAAAACAGCAGATTTTCGATTAGGTAGCCTGCCATATATATAAAAATGATAATTATATATGGACGCCTAGTTTGTTTTAATTTTTTTTTTTTACCCAGCTCATCGAACATTATTTTTCCGATTCAATAAGTTTGAAGATGTTTTTTCGTTTGTTTGTTTGATGTGTGTGTGTGTGTGATTGTAATAAACACATTTAAGCCATGAAAAATTATTATTTTGAATCTTACAAACCAAAACAAAACAAAACAAACCAGATTTATGATGATGATAATTTCCAGAAAATGTAAACAAATGATGATGTGGCCAATTAATTGTGTGCATTTTCTCTTTTTTTTGCTCATTGTAAAAGAATAGAAAAATAAATCAATTATTAATCGATCATTTTCACATTGATCAATTACAATTTTTACTTTTCAATTTTTAACGTTGACATTTGAATTGAATTGACATGATTGATGATGATGATGATGTCAATCTCTATTATTATATATATTATTATAACTGACTTTTTGTTTGTTTTTTTTCCAATCAATCAATCATTTGATCGTTTTATTTTGATTATTATTGACCACCATTTGATTATTAGCATAACAACAACAACAACAACAATGAAACAAAAAACCAGCCATAAATAATTCTTCAAATGTAAATTTTTAAGATAATCTTTCTTCATCTTCATCACTAAATATCATTCATCAATTCAGTTTGCATTTGTTTTTGTTTTTGTTTTTTGTTGCAAAAAAAGGAGAGAAATGGAAAATATTTTTATATGCTAATCGAAATTGAAATTAAATCGAATTGAATTGCCAATCGATAATGATGTTGTTGTTGTTGTTGTTTATATTCAATCGGACAGTTATTATAATGATTATGATTGACGGCCAAACATATTTGTGCCGGTTATTTATCCTTTCCATCTCGTTCTATCAATGGATCACGTTTTTAAATTTTTTTCTCTCTATCTCTCTCTCTCCTTTCTCTTGATCATTGATTTTTTTTTCAACGAAAATTATGAATGTCCAGCAAGAAAAAGAAAACAAAAAACACCATAAAGATTATATTGAACAAGAGAGAGAGAAAAAAAATGATCATCTGACAGCTCAAATATAAAGAAAAAAAAAAACACTAACACAGTTTGTTACCCGAAATTAGCAATGACCGCATTTTTTCGGGTCAAATCCCGTAAGGAAAAAAAATTTCATTTCATTTCCAACATGATAAATACACCACACATATAGCAAAGTATGAAGAAAAAAAAGAAAAATCTATTAGCATCAACAACAACAACAACAAATAAGATAAAATCAAAACAAAAAAAAAACAAAAACAAAATGACCATAAATCTATATCTAGCTAGTTTTTTAGTCAAGAAGAAAAAATAAAACACTCGGTGATTTACTCTTTTTAATATTCCACATATATCGTATATATAATCAACAAATCAAAAATCAAAAATCGAAATTCATTCAATCATCATTAGGTCACAACAACAACAACAACAACAACAAAAAAACTAGCTATATATCATTATTAATCGGGCCAACATTTCACTCTTCATTCAACCGTGTAATAATAATAATAATACCCGCAAAACTAAAAAACGGCAACACACACACACACAATATCAGGTGTATAATTGAATTTTAATTTAGATTTTTGTTTTGTTTTGTTTCGTTTCTTTATTCCACTCTTCACATTATCTATGATCATCATCATCATCATCATTTGGCTGAAAAAAAATTCAATTGAATCGAAAAAAAACAATGAATGAATGAATGAATGAATTCGGTGTGATTGAATTGAAATTCGATATTGGATGATGATCAGTTACAGTTATTATTATTATTATTATTATTATAGACAATTGAATGAAATGAAACAAAATATTTTTCATTTTCTAATCTGATTGTGTTTTTTTTTTGGTTTGAAAACATCATAATTCGTCGTATTTATATCATATCATTATTAATTATTTTTTTTTTTTTGACTTGTACAGAAGTCCAAAAATATATAAATTTATGACGACGATGATGATGATTGAACGAATGATTGGTGGTGGTGGTGGTGGTGGAAATAATAAATAGATATAGATAGAAAAATCGACAAGTAAAAAAAAAAAAACTTCAATGGGCAAAAAAATCGACAAAACGTCGTCTATTAATAGACAACGTTGCCAATAAACACTTGTTGATCGATTTTAGTATTGAACTATAAGAAGAATAAAAAAATAATAAAATAAAATAACCGAAATCGACCAATTGAAGATAAAGTAACGAAGAAATTTTTACACTGCTTCCAAGTCAATTAATATACGACCTTTATGTATTATTGTTGTTGTAGTTGTTGTTGTTGACATTTAAAGGTTACTGGTTTGTTTTGTTTATTTTTATTTTCTTTTTTTTCAAGAAAAAAAAAATGACAAATGACGATGCATCATGTATTTACTGAATACAAATTGATTGTCATCATCATCATCATCATCATTATTATTGTCTACGGTCACGCTATGTTGATTATTGATTCGTTTCATACATTATATATATTCATTCATTTTATGTACATTGCACGTGCACATGTTGATGACAATCATGATAAAAGTTAAGATCCGAATGAAACTGGTTTTTCCGGTATCATTTAATGGTGATGGTGGTGGTGGTGGTGGTAGCAGTTAGTGGATGTCAACTTGTTGTTTTCATTCATCCATTCATTCATTCATTCATTCAAAGGGAAAAAAATTTTTTTTCACCATCTCAATTTGACCATTTAGTTTGACAGTTTAGTTTGATTGTACTGTTTATATTGAATTGAATTTGTTTTTATCATTGTTATTGTCATCATTTGCATATTTTTTTTTAATTCTGTTAATTCTACCACTACAGTATACGCAGTGTTGAAAGAATATATAATTGTTGTCGATTTCTCAATGTTTTGTTGATGATTTTTTCTTTTCTTAGTGAAATCTTCCATATTTTAACAATGTGTGTGTGTGCGTTCAATCTAGCTATTTTTGGTCATTTTCACCTTGATTATGAACTAATTTTTTTTTGGCTATTTAATTGGTTGAAAGCAAAGACGACGACGATCATCATCATCATCATCAGCATACCATCAATGGCCATTTTACGTGCTGTGTAAAGGTTGTAAAAAAAAAGTAGAAAAAAAAATTCAAATTTTCAAATCATAAACAATATCATCAGGTAAATATTTGTTATTTTGGAAAAAAAAATTCACCCAAAATGTCCATCATCCGTTGACATTTTTGTCATATTAATAACTTTTTGTTGTTGTTGTTGTTGTTGTTTTTTCACTTCGTTATCTAGTTATAATTATAGAAGATCGTATTTTATTAATAATTAATATTTCATTTTCTTGTTCAACGATATCCATTTTTAAACTTTCAAAGTTTTTTTTCTGAGTCTGAATCACACCCACTCCTGTATCATGCTATGTTCTGATGCACGTAATGTGTGTGTGTGTGTGTGTGTGGGTGGATGTATAGATTTTTTTTGTTTTCGTTTGTTTGTTTGTGTTTGGTCATCATTTGGTACGTGTTTATCATTCATACAAAAAATATGACTGTGTGTGTGGGTGTTAATCTAGGTTATTATATTATTTTGTTATGTTTTTTTTTTGGAACATTTCATCAGTTGCTGTTGTTGTTGTTGTTTTTTTTCCACTATCCGTATCATCCATACGGATGATGATGGTCGATAAAAAAAAAAAAAAATACAAATCTTCATGCATGTCATCTATGATTGCTAAATCATTCATTTTGACATGATAAATATTATATTATATATTAAGATCATCATCATCATCATATTATATACATTAAGAATCCATCATTGTCATCCACATTAAATGATTGAAATGCATTCAAATGGTTTTTTTCTAGGACAAACTCACACACACACACACACACACACACACAGCACAAACACAATTAGTCATCATCATCATCATCATTTTCAACTTGAATATTGTACATCATCATCACTAAAAAAATTTTCATTCAATTGAATTTTTCTACATATATGTCAAAAGTAGAACAAAAAAAAATCAATTGAATAAACACGGATTTAAATAATAATAATCAATTGATGATGTTAATATATGTATATACTACTATATATTTGCATAAAGATTTTGTTTCAAATGAGAAAAAAAATCCATCCATCCATCCATCCATCCACTTTACTTGACATTCATTTGATGAGGATTTTCCTTGTTGTGTCCATCTTGATTATCATCATCATCATCATCATATTGTTTTTCATACATGAAAAAGACTATGGCCAATTTATGAATGAAGAACAGCAAAAAAAAAATGAAAAATTTTGTTTTTGTTTTTTTTTTTTTTTTTTTTTGGTTTTAAATTTTCAAAACGATTATCATCATCAACGTCAAAGTTTTGGTTGACGTAAATTCATAATTTTGTTATTCATCAATAAAGATGATGATGATGATTTGAGGGTCAACAAGCACATCAACAACAACAACAATAACAACAACAATGACCGGGAATTTTTTTTTTTTTTACAATCATCAATCCTTGAATCAAAATTTTTTTCTGTTGCTGTTTTGATGCCAAAAATATGGTAGTCGAAATTTTTTTTTTTTTTTTGCTAGTTGATTCATTTTCCCATCCCGTTATCTAATCATGATAATCTTGTTGTTGCCCGTCTGATGATAATATAA